CGGGTGTTTCCACGACTGGAAAACTAGTCTCTAAATCTCTTTGGGTTTTCCAGATATTCCAGGACGGCCTTACATTAACAAGAGTCGGGGAGGATAACCACAACATCTCTCTCTCTAAAGACAGAGACGCCCGTCCTAAGCCTGGAAAAATCCTCCACATAAATGTCTAGTGCTCTGTGCTACTGTGACGGAGGTATTTCAGTGACACCCAGTCAAAACACTCAGTATCAGCGTATTATACAAACGTCTGGCTCTGATATATATTTATATCTCTCATATATCAGCTGTAGTATTGGATTCAGCTCCACGGGAATGTGGTTGCACTATATAAACATTATTAGGCAGCCGTAAAACGTCCAGACCAACAGTTTACTGACCTCATTCCTCTTCAGTGAGGCTGCTGTTGCAGACATTTCATCATACCCCGACCCCATCCATCACTCCCTGACACCCAGCAGTCACCTGGGATTACCTCTGCTTCTACAGTGTTTATATGTTCCTGCAGTTGTAAATCCATTTAACATAAGAAATGTAAAGTTCAGTCAATTCTAAATACACAGAACTGATTGGACACACTGATATCACTTGTGTTTGAGCATGAAAATGTGACAATTTGACAAATAAAATGTTATTTTCAGCCAAAGTTCAGGACAAAAAAAAAAAAATAAAATTATATTTCCTGTCATGCATTTTAATCACATTAAGAGCTTTAAAAGGTTGCACGCTGGATTCTTATCTCTGATCCGTTCGTCACAAACTTTATGATTTTCCAGCTTGTATGGATCAAAGGATTACGGAGCAATCGAGTTAATGGTGGATGGACGCAGTGAGTTACAGAAAACTGAGACTGAAACGACGGCGTAACTTTGATATTAACGTTTAAGAACTGACTGCGACCGTTATCTGTGGAGGAAGACTCTGAGATGTGGTTGAAAGCAGAGCTGCCACTAACTAAATCATTGTTTTCTCCATTAATCTTTTGGTCTACCAAAAAAAAACAGTGAAAAATACCCAACACAACATCCCAGAGTCCACGGTGGCGTCACCAAATGTCTTATTTTATTTAACCAACAGTCCAAAAACCCAAAGATATTCAGTTTATTAATGTAAGAGGAAGAAAAGCAGCAAATTCTTACATTGAAGAAGCTGGAATCATCCATTTTTTTTTACATTTTTGCTTGAAAAAATTTATCAAATAATCTTTGATCTGGACTTTGAGTTTATTTTGTAAACAATAATGAAAATAACTGTCAGTTGCTGCTTTAACATTCTTATACTTTGGCTCATGAAGACATTATCTGTTAGTCAAACTGTAAATTAAACTATTGTTTTACCCTTTATAGAAGATTTGTCGTGGTGTTGCATTACGTACAGTGTCCATAAAACATCCACATTAATAATTTACAGGCCACAAATGTTTGTTTACTTGTTGCTTATGAAAGCCACAACAATTGCATGACCTTCTACACCGCTGCCTCCACTTCAGAGAGTGTCTCTTTGGTTGTAAACACGCATTATTTCTGATCTTTAAAAGCTCTTATCTGTGTGTACGTTGATTTTTATGAGCCAGTCGGTGGTGAAACTCATCAAAACTGTACATTTTCCTGAAACTGAGCCAGTCCAGATGCATCAGTGTGAGTCTGAGAGCAGCGAGGGACTCAGTTTGTCTTCACCGAGATAAAAGTGTAGCATTACCTCAGGCGTTTGTTAACTACGAGCTGCTGCCCACGCCGCCTATCAGGCCTCATTCTAGGCATATTTTCAGCGAGCGCGAGCCAAGGCGACGGGCTCTCCACCAAAAATCCATATTTCGGTGATGAGAACAGTTGCTTTACACTGCGTGCCAATACGTGCAGATGTGGCTCATTGTGTTCATTATACAGAGTGCTGGTTTTATACAGTGTGTCTGCTGCTGACCAACTGAAGGGGAAACTGTATGAAATCAGCCCAGATAAAAACCCACCTGTCGCTCCCTGTGTTCAGTCTAAATTGAACAGAAGTGATGCATCCTTTAGACAAATAAATGCAATGAACAGAACTGCCAATTAAAACAAAAGTACTTGTTGAATTTTTGTGCTAAAATAGTCGATTAATTAAACAATTAACAGAACATTACGACTGAATACATGTTGCTGGTTTTTTTTCTTGTTTTTATATCATTATAAAGTGGAAATCTTTGGGGTTTTTGGGTGTTGATTGTGCAAAAAAAAGTCACATTATGATATTTCTGAACATCTTCTGGGACTTTATAAGGTTTATAATGAATCACTTGGTTGATTATACTTGTTTTGAGCACATTCCTCATGTTACAAACCCAATGACACACAATGAATTTATTGAACGTACCTCTCGGACTGAGGGCTAACGTTTAAATAATCTCTTAAAAATTACAATTAACTGGTCTTTTGTTAGTACAACGGCAAGTAATTAAACATCAGTTAGAGATTAGATTATTTTCTGAAAATGTTGTTAATCTTGGTATTCACCTGCCACCTGAAGAGAAACATTTAATTTCTGCGTTCTGCGTTTTAATTCATGTGAACTGAAGTGAGTGAAGTGCTCGAGAAGCTGCGGTGGACTTATAATTACTTTTTGGAAGTTTTACAGACTATATTATTTCCACTAATGACGTCAGATTAAACACAATAGTGGTTATTAATGGTGGTTATTGGCTGCAGAGTTCTGACTGAACTGCATTATGTGTCTCTCTGTCTTTCTATGAGCTTTTAATCATTGAGGTTTGAGGTTAGTGTGTCAGAGGGGAAACAGATCAAGTATCTTCTATGAGTGACGGGGACAGACTGACACCGTCTGAGCGTCTATCAGGGGGTCAGAGGTCACTGCTGATTGTCTGGCTCATTATCAGAAGGACACATTAACCCTTTGACATCCTTTCACTGGTTTCTCAGTTTCCCTTTAATCAGGCTAACAATGAGCTGTCAATCAGCATCGTTTGCTTCACACATTCAAACGTCATTAGCTGTGTCGCTGGGGGTTAAAACATCTGTCGCACACAGAGTCGGTCAAACAGGGAACATAAAGACAAAAGATAAGCCTGCTGACTCACTACACAACAACCCTGACAGCTGCTCTACCGTGTGGCTGCGTACGGCGTGCAGCATCGGGCCCGCGGGGCTGCTGCTGAGCGCTGTGTTTCTCAAGGTCTGTGTGATAATGGATGCGTTGATGGGACGCTCTGTGACAGGAGGGAGGGGCGCTGTGTTTGGGTCTGGCTGCCATCCACTCAGCCTCTCTCACAGTTTTCTGCCATCATCATCACCGTCGATAACAGAGAATATTACTGCAGAACGCCTTTTTATTACAGCGGCACTGAGCCTGTGTGCAGTCTGGGGAACGGGCGATAAAATGCATCGTGATTACATAAAAGATCTTTAAAAGTTCAGAATCAGATTGTTAAAGACCCGACTGCATGAGATGCCATAGATCAAGTGTCAGTTGTTAAACTATTAATCTTTAAAATAATGTTGAAAGTCAGTAACTACAAGATAAAAACATTTGAAATGCTCCTTTTTATTATCTATTGTCCTCAGCAAATAAACCTGTTTTTAAAGTAACACAGCGTGGTAATATGAAAACCACACAGCGGCCACTTCATCAGGTACGCCTGTATGATCAAATGCAACCGAATACTCTTCTGATCGCTCCTGAAGGCGTTAATACAAGCATGTTCCCACACATGTAACTCTGTAATCCAGCAGACAAACAGGGACACTTCTCACACAGCCTCTTCAGCGGGGTCTCCTCTCTCGTGCGGTACTTTAACTTTAACAGTAAGAGTTTCTGTCTTTGAGCTACAGGCAGGAGTGTGCGAGGTGCACCTGAAATAAACTCTCCAGTCATTGTGGATTTAACAAAGCTTGGAAATTACAAATGGAGCCACGCACTGCTGGAGCAAAGCTTCCCATCCATTTCCCTGCTGTTAAAAAAAAGCTTTTGGGAAAACATGGTGCTCTAATGAATCTCCGTCAACACCGACTAAATGAACTCACTGGCAGAGTTAGCTGACGAGCTATTGGTTGTTTTAAGTACACACCCTGCTAGGAACTAGTCATTTGGGCTGGGTGAACTCACCACATGTCAAGACCAAAGAATGTAATAGAGAGAGAGAGAGAGAGAGAGAGAGAGAGAGAGAGAGAGAGAGAATGGCAGCTATGTGGAAGGCGTGTGTGGCCGGGCAACCTCATCTTTTCTTCATACCGGTTCCTTATTGTGGCGTACTCTGACGGGCAACCGCACCAACAGAAAGTGAAAATCAGGACAGGTTTCACGAGCTTTAATGGTGGCAGCCCGCGGAGGCTCAAAGGCCAAGTGTAAATTATTCATAGAGGACTTCAGGCGGTGGTCAACGGGATTGAAATGATCAAAAAGAGCCCTGAAACTGAGCCTGTGTGACCTTTCTGACGTCTATTTGTGAGACAACAAAGACTGTTTCTGTGCTGTAAGATGAAAGTGTCAGAGTATGATGCGTGCCTTTATTCCTGGTCGTCCAAGGTAAAACTGCACCATCTGAGAAATGTTCTGGAGCAACTCATGGGCTCACGCTGTCGGCCGTTTTGGAATATCTAACCTGCCAAAAGCTATTTATTTTCTGCTTTCGTTGCCAGCTCCACTGCCCAAAAACTGCCAACTCCACCAATAAAATCATTTAGGATCATTTCTCATAGGAGTTTTCACACACAAGAGTTTGGAAAGGTTAACCACTAACCCGAACGAGGAAATGACAGGGTACTGGTCTGATTGTTGGATTGGTTCTCTGGTTAGTAAGTAGGATAGTGTTATTCCCCCAGTACATTTATTCTGAGTGATGAAAACCAGTGGGACGAACAACTACAGCTCCATTTTTGGCCATGGCAGTAAATCTCTATCAGCACAGTTTGGCAGGAAAACAGTGGATGTTGACGTCCTTCCCTCGGCTGGAAGGACAGCCGAGGGAAGGAAGGGAGACAGCGATAACACGGGGGTAACAACGGAGGACCTACCCATGGTGGCAGCTCGGCAGTGGGCACACTCTGCTTCACCACTTTCTCCTCGTGCTCCAGGAACGCTAAGGCCCGGTTTATCCTGTAGTCCTTGCTGCCGTGGTTCTTCCTCCAGTAGAACAACATGGCGAGTCCGATCAGAACCCAGCTGAAGCTGAACTCGAAGTATCCCAGGATGTAGATCGGGAAGATGATGGCGAAGGTCTTGCCGAATTTAATCCACATTTGGGTGACGTCCGTCAGGGACGACTGGGACTCTTCCTCCAGCTCCTCCGGGGACAGAGGCGGGCCGATGGTGGAGCCCACCGGGGAGCTGGGCGCCGCGATGGGTCCGTTCACCCTGGCGCCCGGTCCCGCCGAACCCTCCATCCTGTTACTCATTTCCCTGCTGGAGAGAGAGAGAGAGAGAGAGAGAGAGAGAGAGAGAGAGAGAGAGAGAGAGAGATTTAGTGTCTGGTCACACAGCAGAGGCCTCATGATGCAAGATTATCTCCAGCGGTCAAAGTTCAAACAACTATATCACAGACATGCAGCAGTTAGAATAAAACAGCATTAAGCATGACAAAGAAACAACAAGCCGACTATTGAGCCTCTTAAATGTACTAATGTATTTAATATAGGTGTAAATGCATGAAGAATATAGACATAATATTCACTTCCTGTTAACCAAAATAAAACTGCTTGTATTTCAGAATATTATTATATATTACAAAGGTGTAATTACACTGTAATATCTACTGTGAAGTATCACTGAAGATCTTAACATTTGAGAATATAATTCGTTATATATTCATTAATCAAACAAGGATATAACACATAATTATTCAGTAATAGGACAACACTATATTTCTTCAATAAATTGGGATTAAAAAGTTGCAAATGACTGATTAACGTCACTAAAACCTCAAATGGCTCCACATTAGACCAAATATTATTTTATTATTTTATCTGTAAACTACATTAAAATACTGTTCTTATCGTTTACAGATTGTTTTCCCAGTCTTTACTGCATATCCATACAGGCTGCTGGTTGAACTGTCATGCCTGCCTTCCTGTATGGAGAGGACGTCATAACGAAACTCCCTTCACAAAAATGTCCATTTCTTTTAAACCTTTATTCCTGGGAGAACTGGCAACGGTACGCGCCTAAAACAGAGGATTTTACTACATACTACGAAGCATTTAGAGGCGATCTCTAATTCGGCATACATCCAATACACCTAAACACTATAATTTAGTGAGTATTTCAACTTTGAAAAGTGCCTCAGCCGTTGTCAGCGAAAACAAACCGCCGTGGCTGGCAACGATTAGTGTAATGAATAACTTACAGGTTGTACTAAAATACATGTTGTTTGGTTTGGTTGTATGTGTGCCGAATTAAAGAGCACCCGCTTCTAAATCCAAATATCACCTCGGTTACTGGTTACGGTGTGTAAAACGTAACCGTTAAACACGGCGACTCTTAACTGCCACGTTTTTTGAACGGAGTCCGTCGTGACGTTCTCTCCACAAAGTGACACGTATCGGGGGGGGCTTAACCACCAGCACTGCGTACACCAAACACAACTTATTCCTCCACGTTAAAGAAACACACTCACCGTTATCCACCTGCGACATTCGCGTTATCCCGTATAAAATAAATAAACCGAGGTTCACTGTGGCAGCCCGGTGCTCTGCATGGCGGCCAGCTAAACTCTGATTAAGCCCGTCTCCCCTTCAGCACATCTCGCTGTGAGGGCGGCCAGTCCGTCGGTGTCAACCAGCCCGCAGGAAACTGTCATAGCGGGAAAGAGGTCAGCCTCCGACGGGGAGGGAGCTTCGAATGCAGCAGCTCAGCGGCGGTTCCCGGCGCCATCTTGCGGCGGAAATAACGGTTACCGAGTTTAGTGTGAATCCGCCGTCAGTGTGTCACAGACGTTAGTGTTTTAGTTTAGTGACTGCCAATGTGACTAAAAACGATTATAATGAGAAGGTTTCTCAACACAATGAAAAGGGTTCTGTTATTTTGAGATATTAAGTCATTATTTTGAGATATTAAGTCATTATTTTGAGATATATGTCATTATTTTGACCGAGTTTAGTGGAACCGCCGTCAGGTGTCACAGACGTTAGTGTTTTAGTTTAGTGACTGCCAATGTACTAAAAACGATTATAATGAGAAGGTTTCTCAACACAATGAAAAGGGTTCTGTTATTTTGAGATATTAAGTCATTATTTTGAAATGTATATTATTATTTTGAGATATTAAGTCATTATTTTGAAATTTAAGTTATTATTTTGAGATATTAAGTCATTATTTTAATATATTAAGTCATTATTTTGAAATTTAAGTCATTATTTTGAGATATATGTCATTATTTTAAGATATTAAGTCATTATTTTGAAATGTATGTCATTATTTTGAGATATTAAGACATTATTTTGAAATGTATGTCATTATTTTGAAATTTAAGTCATTATTTTGAAATTTAAGTCATTATTTTGAGATATTAAGTCATTATTTTGAAACTTAAATTATTATTTTGAGATATATGTCATTATTTTGACCGAGTTTAGTGTGAATCCGCCGTCAGTGTGTCACAGACGTTAGTGTTTTAGTTTAGTGACTGCCAATGTGACTAAAAACGATTATAATGAGAAGGTTTCTCAACACAATGAAAAGGGTTCTGTTATTTTGAGATATTAAGTCATTATTTTGAGATATTAAGTCATTATTTTGAAATTTAAGTCATTATTTTGAAATTTAAGTCATTATTTTGAGATATAAGTCATTATTTTGAGATATTAAGTCATTATTTTGAGATATTAAGTCATTATTTTGAAACTTAAATTATTATTTTGAGATATATGTCATTATTTTGACCGAGTTTAGTGTGAATGTGTGCACAGACTTAGTGTTTTAGTTTAGTACGCCAATGTGACTAAAAACGATTATAATGAAAGGTTTCCAACACAATGAAAAGGGTTCTATTATTTTGAGATATAAGTCATTATTTTGAGATATTAAGTCATTATTTTGAGATATTAAGTCATTATTTTGAGATATTAAGTCATTATTTTGAAATATAAGTCATTATTTTAAGATACTAAGTCATTATTTTGAGAAAGTTTCTCATTATAATGACTCAAAGAATCTTTTTTCCCCTGTCACACTGACAGAAATGGGCTTCCATACAATAATAATTCCATAATGGTAATCTAGTCCAGGGTTGACGATTATAAATTTAATATATCCTATTTACATTTATGCTTACGATCTCAGACAACAACTCTTTTTTGCACAATACTTTGGAAACATTAAACTTGGCAGATACCATATACATAGGCTTACTATATTCTACTTTACTGTATTTAATACAGACGTGTTACTCTTTGTACATTCCCCTGTACTGCAGTGCATCACTGTTTGAATTTCCCCTGCAGGGATCAATAATTTTATTTTATCTTATCTTATCTAGACCTCTGGTCCAGTGTGGTTGATGGAGAAAAAGCAGCGACAATCTGCTCCTTCCTGTTATAATTAATAATAATTAATAGTATCAAGTATTTAGTCTCTATATTAATTAATAAAGTTTGACAAATAGGTTCCAGTTAATTGTTTAATTATAGGTATTTTCTATATATATTTATCTACTCTTCTCAAAGCCTCCAAAACACTCCTAAGAATTAAACTTGGAATATACTGAATCATTGACTATTTTTACTGTTTTATGTTTGTTTCAACTCTAATTTTCCCTTTATAGCCTACATACATATATATATATATATATATATATATATATATATATATATATATATACAGTGTACATATTATACAGGTGATCGTACAGGTGATTGTAAAGAGGCCAGTCGGGTGTTTTAAAGAAGATAATTTAGTCTGTAAAATCCAAAGAGGCCATTAAATAAATGAATTTAGAAGAGATTTAAGGTGCCGTGCTGGTTGCACAGAGGACCTTCCTCCACTAGATGTCATGGTAGAGTGTATCACAGCTGATGTGTAGTATAAATCTATACAGACAGTTAATTATATTTTGGAGGAAAAGAGGGACAAGTATCATTATATACTGTAATTATATAGTTATTGTTCTGTTGTTTACTGAGGAGAAACCCAGCTCAGCATAAAGCGAATTTAATAACTATTTTAATTGTGTTACGGCTCAAAAACAAGTGCAGAACAACAATCAGAGGAATGAAATCTATTTTTAAAATCACTCAGGAATTCAGCGTTGAAGCTGCTCGCAGTGTCCTTTTCTCTGGGAAGTGAATGAAATCAGCAACAAAAACTTTAAAATAAAGAATTCAATTATGGAAAAGAACAGAAAAACCTTCACACTTCGCAGTTTGTTAATACAGGCCAGCTCCTCCCCGACTGTCTTTATGTATTATGCTCCTGTCTTTATTAGTAACATAACATTAATATGGACTGAATGTTCAATCAGTGTCCATGCAAGTTGGAAAGTCTTTTTTTTGGAAAGTTTCATTGGGTAGTTAAAAGTTGTGTGGGGGTTAAAGGAGGAGAGAGAAAGAGGAACAAGGAAGGAATAAGACGTGTGGGGGAAATGTTCTGGCAAGCACCTCAGATCAGTTGTTCCTTTAAAGAACCTGTTTTCTATCATTTAGTAAACTGACTCTATTGTGACATATTTTATTGATATTTCATATTATATTAAAACATTGAACTCAGTAACTGCAGGAAGTTTGCGTGAAACGAGAGATTTGGATGAATTTTGAGCAGATTATTTCCTGTTTTGGGAACTTTTTATCCAATTATCTGTCTGTATTGTGTATTTTTTTTAATTATTTTTAACAATCACACAGACTTAATATGCTTTTTGACAAATTCATAGTTTTCTTGTCCCTGACGGATGACCGTTGTTCTATTAGACACTTTACTTTACTACACAGAAGTGAACCAAATGCTGAGATATCAACCTACTGTGTGTATTTTTTAGGTTTTCTAGCGAGAATCAAGAAAGCCTTGCGACCCCCTGTGAAGCTTTGGCGACCCCTAGTGGGGACCCCGACCCCCAGGTTGGGAAACACTGCCTGTAGTCAGATAAGCCAGTCACAACTCTAAATGGGTTGGATAAAACATATTGCATAAGTAATAGTTTATTATTTATTTAAATTAGATGTAAAAGTATTAAGTTTGGATGTTCCAACAATTCAAACAAACAGAAATTCAAAATGTTGTGTTTACTGACCTGCGTCCGTCCGGTGACGTCCCATGGGGTCTGAGGTTGGCCTCAAGTAGGAGAAAACAAGGACAACAAGGGGGCAAATAAAGGGTAGTTCAAAGAGTGACAAATGGATGAAAATAATAATAAAAAAATGATGAAGATGAAGAAACCCTGGACTAACGCAGCTGTCCTTACCTGGCGCCTCTTCTCTTCTCTCCCCCTCACCTTTTTTTTTGATTTTATTTTTTCCTTTCTTCCTCCTTTCCTCCTCTTCCTTCCCCCAATTACCTCAATCCTGCACACTCACAGTCTCTGCACACACACCCACACATACAAATGAGGGGAAGACCTGGATATCTTACCTCTGAATTAATCTAAAGTAACCCCTAAAGTAAGAATTAATTTACTGACTATTGACTTTAACATGTAGTTCAGCTGGATGGACCAGTATTATATATTATATATTGTATTATTCGGATGTTAAGAGTCAAACACGAGCTTCCTGGTGCTTTGACACACCTGTAATAGCTGTTTTTCCATAAGCGTATATAACTGTATCATCTGCATACATCTGTACGTCTGGTCTTGTCGCCCTGGTTGCATTGATGTCCTGTCTTAATGTTAATCACATATCTTGCGTCAATAAAAAAAATAAAATGTTTATCTCCTGTTGCACTCCCTTTAGTTCCCTCTAGACCAAATAATCAAGCTGAAACGTCTGTGTTAATAAAAGTAAAGTGGAATTGTTAGCTAAAGGAACAATAAACTGTGATGAAAATGCATTTGTCTGTCATGTCTTATCCGCGCCCACACATCTTTATTTGCCCACCATTTGCCATTCATGAGATTCCTGTAGGTTAATTAGATTAGTTTGGAGTCGTTCTGGTCTCACTGTCCGACTCCCACAAGCACTTTGATGATTGGGTGGATCACAGCAAGCTAATTTGAATTCGGGTACGCAGCGATGCAATCACAAAGTAAAGTGAGACATTAAGATGAGTATATTTAAGCAATGACAAAAAAATAATGATTCCATTGATCCTGTAGGACACATGCAGCTGCTGCTCCATATTCTGATTTTATTTCCCTCTCCTCTCTGAAACTGTGCAGGGTAATGACAGAGGAGGAAGATGAGGAGGAGGAACAATGTCCTTCCTTAAATGAGGGTGGGAGAAGAACAATTTGGACGCAGCAGCAGTGAGGCAATAAAACCTCATCCTGTGTCTCCGAGGTAAGAGTAGGCAGAACAGGGTGGGTTTTATTTTCAGACTCGAGGCCAAAAGACTCCCAAAGTTTCCTTATTCAGTCTAAAGTTGTAACGAGTGCAAACTCACGTACATGCGTCTGTATATTTAATGTGTGTGTGTGTATAAAAGAAAAAGGGAATAGAGAATCATGAAGGAGGTCGTTTGAGTTGTGAAGAATTTGATGCTAAACTTTTACTTTTTTATGTTTTCTCTTACTATTATTATTATTGATATTATTATTACAATAGTTACTGTTTTCATTCATTGGTACTACAATATTTGTTTGATCACGCCTGCACAATTAATCGCAGTAAATGTAATATCCAAATCACAGAAGTTGCT